ATTGTGGGTGACATTCTACTGTTCACAGGAATTGTTGGACAAAGTATTAAAAACTACTGCTTTTGTGTAAACAGACACATTGAAAAGTTGATCGTTCAGTTACCAAAAGCCGCTTTGCTAATTTTCTCCATGCTACTCAACCTGATAGGTACTGTTGGAAGAAAGGAATGATGTTTCTTCCATCAGTGCTCTTTTAAGAATGTTTTGAAACCCATTCTACTCCTCCCTCAGTATCTAGCAACTACTGCCTCTTCATGTGAAAAACTAATATGGAAAAAACATAGCTCAGACAGGAGTATGTTCACTCTCAAAGACTGAGTTTTTTTTCAGTCAGAGGAAGCAATGACTGGGATAGTTCAACATCCATCCTGCTGGAAGACAGAAACTAAGAGAAATCTACCAACATACAATCTACATTTTAGATAAGTACCTTTAAAACATATAATGGGCAAACTGCAATCAAAGGGTTATTCTCTTACTCGGCTATTCATGACAATTGCCAGGACAAATATCCAAAGGAAAATATCGTAAGTTTCAAACAGGTCTAATTGTTTTCATTGGAGAAGAATAGATTACTGAGAGTTCACTGTCTAATTGGACTTTAAATCACCTCTTATCTTGAGGAATATATAAACCATCTGCTGGCTCTGAAAAAAGGCAAGTTTACTAAATAAAGCCATTATATTCAGAATTTTATTCTTCTAATTCAGACACAAGACTGGAATTGTCTTACTAAAAACTTAGTAATATAAAATCAACCTGAAAAGAGATTGAGTTTGTTAGGTCATCTCATATAAACTCCTTAACACAAACCCATTAGACAAACCCACATGATACTGTTTACATGTATAATGTCAGGTCTAATAGTGGGTCATCACTATTAGATTATTCGATTAGACTATTAATCATCCTATATTCTAACACCAGAAGTAGAGTAAATAGGAAGTAAAATAAAACTGATCAGGAATGAAAGAAACAACTATTGGAAGATAAATGCTCCTCCATCACTAGAGTCCCCAAATGCCTTGTCCAAATAGTTTAATGATATTGTTAATGATATCACCACAGTGGTGAAATACAGACTGGAGAAGTGGACAATACAGTGTTTGGAAGACTGGCTGAATAGTCAGGCTCAAAAGTTCATGACGCTGCAGTGCCCAGCTGGCAGCTGGTGACCTGTGGCATCTTTCAGGGGACAATACTAAAACCAATGCTGTTTAATGACTTCATTAGTAACCTGGATTATAGGATTAAGTATACACTCAAGAAACTCACAGACTACAGCAGTCTGGGAGGCATAGATGACAGTGAGGTGGCAGGGTTGCTAACCAGAAGGACCTTGGCAGAATGCAGAAATGGACTTGCAGCAATTGCATAAAGTTCAACAAAGTTAAAAGAGTGCAAAATCCTGCAATGTGGACAGAATAATCCCAAGAAACAATACAGGCTGGGCATGAACTGACCAGGGAGCAGCATTGCAGAAAAGGACATGGGGGTTGTGATGGGCAAGTTGATCATGAGCCAGTAGCATGCCCTTGCAGCAAAGATTTATCACATGATGGCCTGTGTTAGTACCAGTTGCCAGCAGACTAAATGATAGTTATTCCACTCTACTTTGCACTTTTTAGCCCAGTTTAGGAAAACTCTGTCCAGTTTTGATCCCCCAAGTTCAAGAGAAACATTGAAAAATTGGAGAGGGTCAGCCAGAGGGCCACTAAAATCTTTAGAGGGTCTGAAAGCTTCTCATGTATAAAAGGGAATTGCAACTACCAAAAAAAGGCTTATCTCAAATACACAGTCAAATTGTGTCCACTGTGTAACAGCTGGTAGTGGGAAGTGGGAGAGATATATCTGCTCATTTTTGAATTCTGTCTGGTTTCAGAGATAGCGTCTATGATACAGCAAGAAATTCAGGAAGAATTAGCATGGAATGGTTGTCTTGTGTGTGTCCGCTATGAATTCTATTGTCAGTAACTTTGCTTTTAAATAGCTTCTCTCTCAAGATAAGATGACAATGGCAGAAGGAGGTACCTGGATATGCCACCTTTTCCTTCATACTGTCATCCTTTGTGCAAATGAGGGAAGGAGTAGGCAAGAAAAAGGGTCAGCACCAGTTTCAGATACTTAGCATTGCATTGAAAAAACCCAAAATCACTCAAAGCACATCAGTCCAACACAAGGCTGAAAAGCAGAACCTGCATCATTTGTTTCAAGGAAAAGCCTGAAGTCATCTGGCAGTGTGTTGATCTTGCCTTAAAAATATTTATTCTTAGCTTCTAGCTAAGATAAATGAATGACAACTATACAACAATTAAAAACACAAGTAAGAGAAACTGAGGGTGAAGAAAGGTTATTTTTACCAGTAAATGCTTTCTTATGTGACAGTATTTTACACTTATTAGCAAGCAGTGCCTTTGATGCAGTACATGATGAAGTACAATAGTCAATTTTCTCTTTGTTGTCACTTAAGTTGTAAGCAAAACTTCTTTTGTTTAAAAACCAAGTGTTCTGTTTCATACCACAATTCCACTGGCAAGCTCAGCTCTGTATGAGGGGACTGTTTCGAGTGACTTCAGCTCTAATGCTTCAGCCCAGTGGAAATCAGGCTGTTTATACTTATAGGGGGTGGCTCAGGCCAAGGTTCCAGTTTCTTTTCTGAAATCCCTGAGAATCAACAGGCGGGGCTGCCTCCTCCGCTGATACTCTGAAGTTTCTCATTTTGCTCCTTCAGCCTCAAAGTTATGAGCATCTCCCCTGAGAGCTGCTTTGAATTCCTGTTCCAGTCTAACCACAAGCAATTACCAGAAAATAGGTGAAGTACAAAGGAAGCAGCTATGAGGTCTGTGCCAGTCCCTCCTACCCAGAAACTTAGAATTTATGAGTCTTGGAACTAGATGATCTTAAGGTCTTTTCCAACCCTAATTATTCTATGATTCTGTGATATAGAAACCAAAAGTTTCTGTGAACTGTGGGGACTGTTTATGGCATTGGATATTTTTGTGTATGATTCTGAAGTGATCTGTGAACACAAGATATTTTTTTTTGGCATTTGGTAGCTGTAAGAGCTAAAGCTAATATCAGAGTGGAAATGGTACTGTAAAGGGGATTACCATGGCACCAAATGTCATTTACTCTGGTTGAACTGCTTGTAGAGTTTGGTGGAGTTGGTGTCACTTTGGCTGCCAAAGTAGTTCACAGTGATTCTGTATTTTTGCTTTTTAGCAACAGATGAGATTCCTAACAGCTGCATATGGCCACCACTGCTGCACTTCAGAAGGGGTAAAGGTGCAATGAAGTAAGGTCATGCTACTGGCTTTTCACTAGTAACTAACACAACATAGTAGTTAGTTACTATTTGTGCGAAGACTTTAGGAATAGGGATGGTGTTACTGGAATTCACTGCAGTTCTTACAGAACAGGTAATCTCTAGGATTGGGAAACACTGCCCATAAATTTGCATGTATGGTCTCAATCCAGAGATCCACAGTCTTGTTGAGTTTTAGGTAACATCGAAAACAAATGTTAACAGCAACTTGTGCAGAACTGTAAAAGGAGGTAAGACCCAAAAGAAAACAAACATAAACCAGACGGTCTGACAGCCACATGGGAACAGCCACCTTTCATCGCCAGCTTTACACAGTGCTAAGAGCTAATCCTGAACGGCAGGTGAGACCTTTTGGCCCTCTGAGCAAGCCAAGAGGCTGCGCCAACGCTATAACCTACAAGGAAGCCAAAACGCTGAATTAGAGTCTTCGTTCTTCTTGAGAGTAGGAGTAAATCACATCACACAGTTGGCGATGGTCATTATTTTGTCTGCTTTGTCACGTAATTTGTGAAAACTAAGCTGAAAATGGACACAGTTATTACTGACGCTTGCTAGTGGCAATGGTGGTTAGCAAAACGCTTCAGGAGGTTCGTGAGCTGCAAGCAGTTACCCCCGGCGCTCACCTGGGCTGCCGGGACATGACTTTATACCTCAGCAATCCACATACACGGTGTATCTCTTTGACGGAGAAGGCGGGACTCCTGTGAGGGGAGCCCCGGCGGCTCTCCGCTTCCCGCCACGGAGGCTCGAACACGGCGCTCGCAGCCGCTCGCAGCTGGCTCGGGCTTGACCCTCAGCGTCGCGGCTGAGGCCAGAAGCCGTTCCCGCAGCGCTCCCTGCGCTGAGGGGCAGAAGGGGGCGCCGCGGAGAGCCGCGCTGACGTCCGCGGCGGGAGGGTTACGCAACCCTTACAGGGTCGGCCCCGCCAGCGTGAAACGACGCCTTTCCTCCGTTACCCTCTCGCCTGGCCTCCCCGGGACTCGGCCCCGTTAGGAACTTGGGTTCCCTTCCCTACCGACAGTTCCAGAGCCCTGGGTCTTGTCCCTGTCCTCTTCCAGGAGACCCCTCGCCGTGCCGTCCAGCGGGCACCGTCCCGACTGCCCCGTCCCTCGCTGACGGGAGGGTGACAGGCAGCCGGCAGGGCAGCACCGTTCCTCGCTGTGCGTGGCTCTGCAGGACCGGCGTGCTGAGGCGGGACGAGCCCCCCGCCGCCTCACACATTCCGGGTACGGAGCGCTCGTTCTTCTGACAAGGACATGGCCGGCTCCCGGCCCTCTCCCGCCACAGCTAAAGCCACCGAGACTAAGGGCGGGAGCAGCCAGCGGAGCGGGACAAGGTCCTGCCTAGTGGCAGCCCGTGCGGCCCAACCCTGCTCGTCGGGGCAGCCCTGACAGGACCAGCCCTGGCCGCAGGGAGCGGCGGGCCCAGCGCCCCCGGGAAGGGTCGGGCGGCGGCGCGCCGGGGTGCCCGCCAGCCACGGGGTGGAAACGGGCGGGGAAAAGCTGCTCGCTTGCTCCCCGCGTCCCTCCCTCGCCTCACACACGCTCGCACCTCTGCCTCCGCGGGCGGCGAGGAGCACTTTTGGGAATTACTTTCTCCACACCCAACCCGTCTGACATCACTTCTGCAGCAGGCCGCACGGGAGCCGCTGCTGCCAGACGATCGCAGCCCGTGTGGAGTGCTGCCCGCGGGCTCCGTGAGTAGCCGCGGCCGAGCAGGGGGCTGAGCGGGCCGGGGCTGGGGTGGCCGGTGCTAGACGGAGGAGGAGGAACCCGCAAAAAAAACAAACAAACGGGGTAAAAATGAAACCCGAGGAGTTTGTTTGCTGCGAAACAAACTTAAATTCGGCACAGCGGCGGGCGCCCGGCCGAGCCGTCCCTTGGGGCCGGCGGGCGCTCGGACGGCGGCTGGGAGCGCTGCGCCCGCCGCGGGCAGCCTGCGTGGCACCGGGGAGCGGGACAAGGCGGGACAAGGCTGCGCCGAGAGCAGGTGGCCCGGGGGTGCGGGAGGCGGCGGGAAGTTCGCCATGTGCGCGGGATGGTGCCGTGCGGGGCTCTGACGCCACCGCTGCGATTGCGTGTTTTTGGCCGCTCACCCCCCTCTAGTGGAAGGAAAATAACTTGGACATAATTCAGTGCAGATCTCGCTTTATGAAGTTTTTGCCAGCGTTAAACGTTTTTCCACTTGAGTCAAACTGCAGTTCTAATAAGCTTCTAATAAGCCAGGCGCTGCCTCACTAGTGAGGCTTTTCTGTGTGTAATGTCCAATTCCCACTCGAGAGGTTACATGCCAGGTACGAGGCGGGCTGCCTTCAGTAATTCTCCTGCAATAGTGAGTGTTGGATTTTAGAGGGTAGCTCCTTGTTTGGACATCTCTAGGAGCAGCAGTGCAACACTGCCCTTGCCTTGGTAGACGTGCCAATGGCTTGCTCCGACTGCAAATGCTGCCTCCAAGAAGCCTGCAGTTTGGCCTCTCCATTAATTTCTTGGCAGAAATACTTTGTTCACATGGTGCAGAAAGGTGGTGTTTTTCTTTTCCAAACGTCTGGGAGTAGTATGTAAATGATCAGTAGTTATTGCAGTTGAGCATGTTAGAAGAATTTTCTGGCTTGATACAGAGCTGTGAAGAATTCCACTGAATAGCTGTAAAATACATGCTAGATTTAAGTAGTTTGCTTTAGGAGCTTTGGAAGTAAACAGCCAACCAGGTTGGCTGATCTCCATCGGGAAAGAAAAAGTAGCACTTTCTTTTCACTTCCTTTCAGACTCCGTACATACAATGCTGGTATATTAACTATGTAAAACAAGCCCTCTTGCCTGCCTGAACAGATGTTTTTTTTCCTGTCAGATAAAATAGTCTGTAATGGCTTTTCCATCCAGACCTGCTCTCTGTGCTGCTTTTGAAGGCTTTGCCATCTAGGCAGGTAGGGTGGTTCAGGAGAAGAACTGTGGGGCTGGGCTGCTGGAGCTGAGATAGCAGCTGCTGCAGACATGGGCAGGCAGGAACCCACAGAAATGGTGGGGCAGTGCTGGGCTGAGGTGCAGTGAGGGGAGGAAAGTGAATTGCAGTTTACTGTGGAGCCCAGCTATGGTTTTTGTAAGTGTGTGACAAATTAGATACCATGCAGCTGGGGTTTAGGTACTTAGCACAGTGAGTGAAATCAAAGTGGGAGTGGAAATAAAGGTACATGGAAAATGTGTTCATCAGAAGCTGATGTGAATTTGTGCAGCGTAAGATGCAAGGACTTGACCTTTGCTTCAAAGACATTGGAAGAAAGAAATCCTGCTATGCATCCCCTTGTGAGCTTATAGAATGAAGCTGGAGAATAGACCATTGGAATACCTGGGGGAAGAGTCATCTTCCATGCTGAATAAAGATGTGTACAGATTTTATCATGTCAGCTGCATGGCTGACATGGATGTTACCAGATTGTCTGCCCAGCAAGGAAAGCAGGAATTTCTCTGCTGGTAGCCATCAATATTAACTCCAGGTGAAATGCAGTAATACCACAACTCTTTAGAGGTCATAAGTTTCTTGTTAATGTGCTCATTTGGGAAGGAAAACAGTCTGTTAATATAATTTGAAATAAAAACAACATACTGTCAGTAGACAAGACACTACTGGTGGTGTGTTCTTTGTTTGTAGTCTCTGGAAACACTTCTATCATAAGTGCCCAACTAGGGTTGATTATGCTGTGGATCTGCCAGCAAGGAAAACCAGTGTATTCCATGTGCTTGCACAGATTTAAAAATTTGCTAGTAAAGAAGGTTGTTCAACAGACTGAGCAGTCAAGACTGAAGGCTGCTACAATGTCATTCATTCTCTTAGACACAGGTTGTGTCTCAACTCTTGGTTGCTGTAGTTACTGTTTCTGGCCAAAACTGATTACAAGAAATTAACATCTTCTCCTTCATCTTGTACCAGCTTCAGTTACTGCACTCTTCACCCCTTGATTTGTTAGTATCTCTTGCTTCACAGTTGTCTCATACCTTTCTCTTGTTTCCATTGTGATGGCTTTTATTTTGTTGTCGTCTCAAGGTTGTTTTCCATCTTGATTTTGACATTTATAGAGTAATTAGAAGAATGTTGTACTGCTACGGATATTTAGAGAAGCAAGACCTTCCTCCACTTTACTAAGTATATTATTTGTGGTCTGTCTCCTTTCGTAATGCTGTTTCCCTGTCCATTTGAAAATGAGTTGGATGGCAGCACAAGGAGACCCTTCCCTTTTCACCTCAGTGTTGTGTATTTTGGTATTCCACTTACTCTTCATGTTCCATTTGTGTCTTGAGCATCATGTAAGACATGACACCACCACATAAATCAGTACAAGAATGTGTTTAATTACAGAGATAAGTAGGACTCTGGAGACCAGATCTTTTCTATTGCCAGCTGGCAGAAGACGTACTTTCCAGGTCTTGCTGCCATTTTCCTGTTGGAAGAAGACCCGATAGAATGAGGCACTATATTAAACAGGAACTAATAAGGAAGGTATTTACTCCAAAGTATAACAAACACTTTATATAAAAACCATGAGATCCTCCAGCACAGCCAAATTTGAAAGTAGAAAGGAGTGCACAGCTTTTTTTGAAATCAGCTTGGTCTCAGAGGGAAAGCAGGGAAGCATAAGCACAGCACTGAGGAATTCCATTCATGGAGCTGTTGAATGTTTGTTAGGATTTGTTTGTTTTTCAGATCATTAAAGCAAACCAGTGATCTCTGTGGTGGGATCTCAGTCTTTGCTGTTTTTTTGAAAGCTTTATTGTTTTAGAAAGAAGATATTTTTGTAAGGAAGATCTCAGTATGTCAGGTGATGCACATGACTTCATTATGAAGATAAGCATCTTCACTTCTAGAAAACAGATCTTGCTGGGTGGGATTCAAGAAAAGCCTCATGGCCTGAATTCATCCATCAAAGGAATTATTATTTCTTCACTAAATGGGGAAAACTTAATTATGCCTTTTTATTTTGCCTATGAAGTTTCATGGGCAGGTTTGATGATGGTATGTGCATGCCAGGTGAAGCCTCACAATTTGGGTGTGACCTTAAAATACAACCCTCTGGCTGTGTAGAGATGTTCACAGAAGTCTGTAGGTGGGGCAGAAAGTGGACTGACTCAAGCACCCCTTAAAGATGGCTATAGGATATATATATATCATAGAATCATAGAATAGTTAGGGTTGGAAAGGACCTTAAGATCATCTAGTTCCAAACCCCCTGCCATGGGCAGGGACACCTCACACTAAACGATTCCACCCAAGGCTTCGTCCAACCTCGCCGTGATCACCGCCAGGGATGGAGCATTCACGACTTCCCTGGGCAACCCATTCCAGTGCCTCACCACACTAATAGTAAAGAACTTCTTCCTTATATCCAATCTAAACTTCCCCTATTTGAGTTTTAACCCGTTACCCCTTGTCCTGTCACTACAGTCCCTAATGAATAGTCCATCCCCAGCATCCCTACAGCCCCCCTTCAGATACTGGCAGGCTGCTATGAAGTCTCCACGCAGCCTTCTCTTCTCCAGGCTGAACAGCCCCAACTTTCTCAGCCTGTCTTCATATGGGAGGTGCTCCAGTCACCTGATCATCCTCGTGGCCTCCTCTGGACTTGTTCCAACAGTTCCCTGTCCTTTTTATGTTGAGGACACCATAACTGCACACAATACTCCAAGTGAGGTCTCACGAGAGCAGAGTAGAGGGGCAGAATCACCTCCTTCGACCTGCTGGTCACGCTCCTTTTGATGCAGCCCAGGATATGGTTGGCTTTCTGGGCTGCGAGCACACACTGAAGCCGGCTCATGTTCATTTTCTCATCAGCCAACACCCCCAAGTCCTTCTCTGCAGGGCTGCTCTGAATTTCTTCTCTGCCCAACCTGTAGCTGTGCCTGGGATTGCTCTGACCCAGGTGTAGGACCTTGCACTTGTCATGGCTAAACTTCATAAGGTTGGAATCAGCTCACCTTACAAGTGTGTCGAGGTCCCTCTGGATGGCATACCTCACTGATGGCTTTATGGCTTACCTCACGGATCCTTAAATACGACGCTGTGGTTGGAATTGCACAGGCCACAGACAGCTAAGGTGGGCAGTATGAACACTCCCTCAGGTATTTAATGCAGGTGTTAAGTGTCCTGAAATACATCAAAATGATGGCCTTCTTCCAGGCAGAAAGTGACCTTCCAGAGTCCCCCGATACCCATGCTGAGGTGCAGTCAGTCTGCAGACTCGTTTATTCTCAGGCTGACATTCTGAATCCACAGAAACAACAAACCAGCCACATAACTCAGTCACAGAAACAAATCAACGTCTAGAGATGGCCAAAGGAGTCTAATGTTGAGTTGAAGCGAGCTGGCTGAGCCTGCCCATATATCACAGGCCCTTTGCCTGGCACTGTGGCTTAGCTGGTTGACCCAAGCTATAGTGTGACTGTACAGGCAGCCAGACTGGTCAAGGAGGAGTGGAGGTGAAGCAGAGTTGGTGCAGGGAGTAGCAGGTGGTCTCTGGGTTCTGTATCTGTATAGCAGCCAGAGTGTACAAGAGCAGTGCAACTGGTGTGCTCAAGTGTGCAATGAAACAAGGGTTAGGAATCCTTCCACCTGAGTTGGTAACGTTCACGTCGTCACCTTTAAGTTTTAATTTGATTGCACCAATTGCAGATTCAAATGACATTCTGAAGGTAGGCTGAGTATTAAATC